TTGCCTTTGCAGAGGCAAACTTCAGGGCCAGTGGAAACTATGAAAATGGATTTTCTGCACTTTGTAAAAGCCATGACCTCTGTAATACCAGAGAGATGAACTGTGGATGTGAAGGGAGTTCCTAGGAGTTTGCTGTACAGCTGGTGTGAATAGTGATTGGGTCTGACCTGCAGCCATCTGAATTGTACTGGGGGCAAGCTGCTGTAATAGATGATCTAAATTGCAGTAGTGATAAGTAGAGCTGTCCCCAGAGAAGAGGACCTTTGCCCCCCTCCCCTTCTTTCGTCCAGACAGTCCTCCACTTTGGAGTGCCGCCTTCCAGGCTCTCCAAACCAAGGCTTGGTCTTTCCTTTCATCTTGGCTGAAATTAGCACCATACAAGTCTCCACGTCTCGGTTTTTGCTCCAGGTGGTTAAGGACTGTGCTTTCTGGCTGCTATGTAGGCTCATTGCCTTAGAGCTGAAATACATGCCAAGAGAATGGGTTGGAGGCAATGTAGCTTTTTTTGGAGAGGCACACAGGTGATGTTGTGATTAAATCAGCCAGAAAAGGAGGGAGTGGCTCCCTCTGTGCCACTCTAAAAGACCTCTCGCTGCCTGGCAAAGTTCCCAGGAGATGAACCTCTCTGGAGCCCAGGTAGCCTGCATGAATACCCAATTCACTGGATACTCACAGGGGCTAAGGATCGCTTTCAGAACTTTCTGTACTGGTTGGAAAGACATTATCCGAATGGAAAGTGACTGTATTGAAGGCACAGGCAAACACTAAATCCATTGTGAAAACAGGACCTTGGAGGCACTGTGAACCATGGCTTTGAAACTGAATTAAAAACGGTATGGCACCATTGTCTTCCATCATTGTACTCTATGGGACATATTTGTTCTTCTAAAATCTTTTGTTTAGTCTGCTAAACATACTGTTGCATTGTTGAGTGGGAAATTTCTGGTTAAATTGTAATATAGTGTCATAAACCTTAGAGGCAGCAACATGTATTCTTTCTGTCTGTGCAGAGCCTGTGTTGCTATGGCCCTGATCCAGAATTTGGTAACACAAACAAACCTAAGTGATAAATTAGGCATATTTATCTAAGGGCTCATTTAGCAATAAAAAGAGTTGTTGAACTATATTTTCTTTTTAATAATATATTTAGTGCTTTTTAGTAAGTTGAAATATGCAAGATCTGGTTTTCATTGCTCCATTTCATGGATTATAAGAGCTCCATGCCAGTGTGGGCACTGTATTTCTTCTCCAGCCTTCGAATAAGACTTTTCCTGGAGGTACTAAAACTTGTGAGAGCTGGAAAAATCTCTAAGGGTTTTGCTAAGTCATGGAACTCATTTCACATGGTGGTGCATGAAGGAGATGTAAAACTGATGACCGAGTACCTTAATAGGAGACTTTGCAGATGTGGGTATAGTTACATTTATATGGAGGATGATACTTCTGTGCTCCCCCATTCTCTTCAGGGAATGTGTTTCATTTGCAGTGTGTGGAGGATAGCAGAAGGAATAAATGCTGCCATTTCTGGGAGTCTCTCGTGTCTGTGGTTTGTTTCATAATTTTTTCTTTTTTTGAATGTTACTGGTCTTACGGCACTCAGGGGGAGGAAGAACTGAAATGGTTTAGTTGTCATTATTTTTCTTCTGTTCTTCCTGTGATGTAGGCCTGACACTTTTCTTGAAATACAAACCCAATTTGTAGTCGTCTTCAGTAGTCCCTGAAGCTGGCTCCCTTCCCTTTTGCTCTTAATTTCAGGTGTTGTCAAGTTGTGCCAGGAAGCAAGTGCAGTTGAGATGTTTGGTCTCCAGAACCGAATGTCTTAGTAACACAGGCTTTGTTCAGTTTTATTGCTTGGTATCTTTTAAAAGGAAGAACTAAAGGGGAAATATAAGGATCTCATGGGGAATGCTCAAAGAAGGGAACCTTGAGGGCAGATCTCTTAGCCATAAAAGATCCTGAAAAACATGCACTCTGCATGGCTTTCTGGGAGTACTTCAGTGTCCAAAGTCTTGGAGAGTATGTAAAACGCACATGCCTCGGTGGAAACGGTGGCCCAAGTTATATAGCCATTCCCATACTCGCTCTTTGCATGCTCCATTAAGTACAACTGGAGAAGTTTTTGTAGGACTGGTGCCAAAGTGAGCTTTCTGTGGGTTGGAAAGGAAGGGGAACAAAGTAAAAGCAAACAGCCTGCTCCCCCCTCTTCACCTGTGGGCTCCTTCCCTCTGCTACGAGACAACATCTGTGAGGAGCCCAGGACCAAAAAGCTTTCTGAAACATGATGAGTTGCTTAATCAGATTTCCATGCTGGGTTTCAATTTAAAAAAGCTTGTGTGTAATTTGAACATAAACATGAAAGTAGATGTCTGTCTGGGGGGAGATCATGACCATACAAACTTACGCCACTTTCTCCTGGCAGAAGGGACATTCTCAAAGTGAAGGTTTTGAGGTGGCAGAGGAGAGGTTTTGGAAGGACTTGGTGTGAAGGAAGCTCCAAGTAATCGCAACTAGCGACTGCAGTGTGGGTTGGTTTTCTTCTCACTTCCCTGGCTGACTCCGCATCTCTCCTCGCGCTGGGAAGATTCCTGAAGGACGATGGGAAATGAACTGGCTTATCCAAGAATTAATTTCAACCCAGTGGTAACTGGGCACAGAGAAAGGAAGTTATGTGAGGCAATGAAAGGAGACAAAGGATGAAAGTGATCTAAATAACAACATAAAGAAAATATTTGGGAATAAAAGTAATCATCAACTTGTATGGTAGGGCGTCCAGCAGCCCTGCTGAGGTTGTGTATGATCGATGTATTTGTTCATTCAGTTATGTCTTGCACTACATTTTTAAATCGCTGCTATAATTTGATTTCTTGAGTTTTAAATAGTGCAGCGTAAATCTTCCACTCACACCAGGACCCAAGTGTCTCTGACTGCAAGCTAGCTGCAGTTTGCCAGTTCCACTTGATTTCATTTCAGACTCATCCCCGCAAGCCAAACCACAAGAAGAGCTTCCTGTCCAGTGGAAAATAAAATGCAAGAGGCGATCCTTTTGTTGCTAACGGGAGGTTGCAGGGACCAGAGCTGGGTCTTGCTGAGGTTGTGTTTGGGCTTGGTTAACCGTTTTGCCAATTAGGCAGAGACTCCTGGTCGCTGGATATAAGTTAGATGCTCTTAGGTCTACTGAGGACAGTAGTTTAATACCCAGGGTAGTTTATAAAGAGGCTTGTTGAGCAGCAGCCTGATGTAATGAAGGGTGAAAAGCTCAGACCATTGCGTTTCTCAGGGTTGTGTTTTTGAAGGAGAGCTCTGCTTGCTGCCTTATTTGTCCCACACTGGCTATTTGGCCTGCAGAGCCAGTGGGCCTTTTCTTGTTTGCTTTTGTTCCATTCAGAGCTTACAAATGAAGCCGTCAAGGACAATTTTTTTTCTCTTCCAGTACATTTATTTATTAAATCTTAAACTTGCCAAATGTCAATGTTTTTTCCCGCCTCTCCCCCAGGCAGTGTGAGTTGGTGTTGGTGATGGGGCTGGTTGCACAGGGTAAGGAGGGCTCCGCTCCTGTGGGTACCCTGCAGAGGTTTTTGTCTTCTGCTCCCCTCCCCAAGCACCATCAGTGAGATCTGGCAGGGTGCTGCTCTGGGAGGACTGGGGTTTTATTTGGCAGAGAAGAGGGGCTCTGGGATGTCTGCTCAGAGCTGTGACAGGATCTCAGAGATGTCCCCTGCGCTTGACGTCTGTCGTCCGCAGTCCCTGGAGTGTTTGTCCTGCTCAGTGTCTGAGGAATGAGAGGTCGTCCGTGGGTGAGCTCTGCCCTCTGTCAGAAAAGCCCCATGCCTGAGATGCTGCTCTGGCAGATGTGGGACTGGACGTTGGGACACCCACCCTGGACCATGGTAACTCATCTGCTCTGCCTGCTGCCATGTTAAAGGGCTTTCCTAGGCTAGCTCAGAAGCAGCAGTGAAATTGGTAGTATGTTTTTATTTCTACTGGGGATGAGCATTTTTCAAGAAAAGGCGTTTTTACAGTGCCCCAGCTCTTTCTTCTCCTTCACCTGCTACAGCTACCTGGAAGCACCGAGCTGTAAAACCTGGAAGAATAATGATGGGTTAAAAATAACCAGAGCTCTTGTGTCCTTTAAAGGGATTTAGTTGGAGGATTGAGTTATGACCAAGGTGACTGCCCTGCGCTATCACTTTACACCTCACTTGTGTGGTGAACCCTTCCTGGGACTGAGCTAAGGCTGAGAAACACATGGGAAAATGAAGGGACCTGTGAAGGGCCGCTCTGAGTGTGGCTGTGGGGACAGATGGACAGACGGAGGGAGGAAGGGAAGGAGCAGCTGCTGCCCAGCGGTTGTTTTTCTGAAGGAGTTCTGAAGATGTAAAGAGTTGAATGCATTTCTTGCTGGGCTTATTTATTATTTTTGTTATCGAGGGGGAATTTTAGCATTGTTTTAAGACTTAGGTTCAGCTTTGTTCCCACTAAAGGAGTCAGATGCTGGCTGTTGACTTAACTGCTGAAGAGATGCTGACACTTCCAGCTTTTACTGGAGCTATGCTTTGATTCCTTGGAATAAATCAGACATTAACTACTGATCTTTTTTTCCCTCCCTGCTAAATCGGAGGGCAGCCATCAGAGTCAATGGTTATTTTCCATTAAACGGTTGCCCAGCTCAGTCTGTTCTCCCGCTGAATTTCGTCTCCAAAATAAAACAGTTCTTCACATATTTCTGTAAGCCACATTACTGCATTTACTGAGTATTTCTCTGTGCTGAGGAGCGCTGTGGTTCCCACAAAGACCCTCGTGTTTGTGTTGTGAAGGCTTTGGCTGGATGGTGGGCAGTGTGGGTGAGGAAGCAGTGACAGGCAGAGGGAAACTGTGCAGCCTTTTTCCTTAACCGAGTTAGTTTGTTGGGTCTTACTTAAGCAAATGTTGCTTGAATGCAGTTCACGGTATTTGCTCAGTGATCCAGTGGAATGTCTGGGATATTTTTGTTTTTCCTTCAGAGCCAAAAAGCGTTTTTTGGCTCTAAATCCCAAAGCCGCCAGCCTGAGGCAGAGTCACTGCGCCTGAGGGCGAGGAGAGCCGAGCTGCTGCGGTGGTGCGGCGAGACGGGCACCCTGGCTGGCACAGAGCACTCGCTCTGCGCCAGGAACTGGGTGTGTTAATTAAAGATTTTGCAAATGACTCTACAGCTAAATTTGCTTTTACTGAAATGAAAGATGTGCCATGACTGACTGAGCTGCCAAGGCAGCCCGCTGCAGGTCTGTCCCACTCATATCCCAGCTCTGCTATGAATAAAAAAATCCAGTTTCAGTGCTCAAATCTGTGCAACCCTCCAGTGAGGCCTGACCCTCCCTGGCCACCCAGCGTGGGAGGCACTGTGGGCTTTGTGCACGCTGCCATTGCAATGAAGATCCCCGCCAGCCACCTTGTCTTCTGGCTGGCTTTCGAAATGCCGCACCGTGTCCCCCGGCCCTGAGGGACCAGCAGACATCTTGGTGGGTCCTGTGAGGCTGCCCAGGGCTCCTCTTGGAGGGTCTCTCCAAAGCTTTGTGAACAGGACGGGAAGGTAACATGCTGCATGAAGGGGAGGTATTCCAGGTGGCAGTCGCTGTGGGGAAACATGCCCTTTTAATCTTATTTTTTCTTATATATATTTTTATTTATTTTTGGCTCTGAACTAAAAAAGGTGATGTTTGGGACCACTAGCACCATATCTAATGCAATCTTCTGATGCCTTTTGGAGGCACTGGAGGATACGGGGCTGTACCCAGACAGCTTTGGTGTGGCCATCTGCTGTGGCACAGGGAGGCCCGAGTGCAGCTTTTATGAGTAGCAGCTTCTCACAGTGTTTTCCAGAGCTGGTAATGATGTGGAGATCAAGCTAGCTTTGTTCTGGCCTCGACAGTATGCGCATGGAGGCTGGGTGAAGCTTGGGTTTTCTTGTCCTGTATGTGCTTTTGTATTGCTAATCCAGAGAGCGTCTGCATGTTTATCTGTGTTCCAGCAGCAATTCATAACATGCACACGTCCTCCCAAACCTGCTTTTGGCTGCAACTTTCTTCAAGTCTCCTCTGTGTTCCTCTTAAATATTTTTACAAGTTCACCCTATCTTTAGGCTGGTGCTTCTTGCTTGGCCAGGACAAGCCGACAGTTTACTTGCTCACTGGAGGGTCTATACCTGTGCATCCTGACACAAGCCCTTCCAATCGTTTTTTCATTACCACATGCCCTGAAGTTGCCACAGGAGAAATTCTTCTGATTTCGTGAAGAAAATGTCTCATTACCTGTGCTTGCCTCACCTTTAAGTAAGGAATATCTTACTATCTCGGATCAAACATAATCAGTTGCAACTAGACCAGATTTGAGTCTAAAAGAATGTTTATTTTAAAACACAGATCAAAAGAGACAATCGCCTATTACTAAGAGTTGCATCCTCTGGTGACTGCAAATATGCAGAGTAAATACCTGCTGGCTCAAGTTCAGTGCTCTATTTGTTTTAATTTTTTAATTTTCTTTGTTAATTTTGTTGACAAATACTCTTATTATCTGGTATGGAAGAAATACTTATATTAAAGAAATAACTAAGTAGTTAATTTTCCATATGGTCCTTTGATCATGGTCTTGAATAGCGAGAGAGCCCAGAGTCTGGTGTGCGTATGTGTTCCCGTGCCAGACTCCTGTGCCAAGAGAGCATCTGCCCTCATGTAATGTAATAATTATGGATCTTTACAACTTGGATCTGCTTTCTTGGAGCAATGATAGTCTATGGAACGGGGACAGGGAACAGAGGGAGAAAAAGAAATTGGGACACCTAACTTTAGGTGCCCAACTGAGGCTCTTAAGTTAGGAGCAGTATGGAGTTAGGAGCAGTATGGACTTATGGTCCATAGGGGAGTCAGATCTGAATTCAGATTGATACATGCAGGAGCTAAGCTGTTCTTTATCTCATATGAGCTGCAAGTAAACAATGTGAGGTCAATGATAAAGAAAAGAGTTGAGTATGGAAAGTAAAACCCCGTTATTACCTCTGACAAATTGTGCTGTGCTAGAAGTGAAAATGTCTACGGCAGCTGCTATATTGGTCTTTTCAAAGTTAGTAAGCCCTTAAGCCTAGTTATTAAAAGATATTTTCACTATGCGTTACTGGACTGAAGGGGTTGAAAACAACAATGTCAAAATACTCAGATGTTTTGTGTGTCCAGGATAGGGCATGAAAGATGACATCGATTAATCTTCATGTCCTTTGACATGAGACATCTCTACATGTCAGATGGCTGTAGCTGTGTTATGAAAGGGCAAAGGCACAGCATTCTTCTGTTGAGGACAGTTTTGTCAGATACTGACACTGGTGTTGGCAAGTCTCTAGAGTGAACTAAGGAGCTCTTCAGAGCATCTTGGCATTTGCTAAAGGTTTGAATGTTTGCAAGCACAGAAGTGCTGAAACCGTAAGTGTATTTTATGTCATGTTGGGTGACAGTGGCTTGCGAGGGAGTGAAGAATCAGATGGAAAATGCCAGTTTGCCATAGAAAGGCTGGAAAGAACGTGGATAATTTTTAACGTGCACAAGAAGTTGTTGCGAGTTGTGTCTTCCAGAATTCCGTGGGAAAGATGGAACACACAAACCAAAGGACTGAAAGTGCCATAAAGAAATACATTCCTAGCCCTGGAAGAAGGTAAGATATGAAATGCCTTTATTGCTTAATGTTAACACAGTGGCATTGAGCTGGCTTTTCCATTCCTTTTCTCACTTAAAATACAGTGTCCAAAACAAGTAAAGGCTGCAACAGCTTGATCATAATTTACATACTACAACCAACCTGTGGCTACTTTGCCTTGCACTGAGGCTAGAGGGGAGGGAACGCGGCTACTGGCCTTGGTGTGTATAGGATGACACTTGCTATAATACATGCCATGCTGTCACAAATAGGTCATCTTCCTGGACTGATGTTTGCTGCCAAGTGACCTCTGTCCAGTGTTTCGGAGGAAGGAAAAGCATTATTCAGTCCTGGTGAACTTTGGCTGGCGTTCAGAGCTGTATTATCACAGACGCGGCTTTCAGCCTGAGCTGTGGCTATTGCCAGTCCTTGTCAATGGTTACTCTCTAGTCAGTAAGGCTATACAGTTGATTCTGTTCAGGCACTTCTTCAGTGTGTGTTTGCACATGCACACATAATAATAATAATGATGTCTGTGCCCTTCACATCTGGTTCTTATGAGTATTAAAGATGCAATTCTTTTTTTTTTTATACTTCCTGCTGGCTTCACACTGATGAATCACCATCGATTTTAATGGAAAAGACCACCAGTGGAAATTTTTGCCTCAAAATAATTTTATTCTCCATCTGATAATGGAAGGAATAATCTGTTCTTTGGGCTTTGGTTGGCAAACTTGGACATCGGAAGGGAAGATGGTTGTACCGTAGTAGCTTTACTGTAATGGTATGGTCAGTGGTTTCTGGGCATTTAAATAAAGGTGGGTGTGCTGTGAGACGTGATGAGGTAGGAGCCGAAATGCAGGGAGCATCGCTTCTGGAATAACCTTGTAACTGAGAGCTCAGGGAGAAGTGACCTATAAATCCATCTTTTGCCAGTTTTAGTTCATACTGGTACCGTCCCTGCAATTATGCAAATGTTAATATCTGGCCAGTTAATATCTGTAAAAACTGGCCAGCTCCAGATGGATTAATATGTAATGGATAATATGTAGAAGATATTTAATCATGAAGAAAACTTTGTTCTGAACAGAATGCTGCCTTTTTTGTGTCAAATATTCGAGGTGTCTTGCCAGCCCCTGTATCCCTGTTCTGTATTTAGCAGGGGACCATGAAGTGATGAAATGTTAGACATCTGTCTTCACTAAGAGCTTCGGTAATGCTACCCTTGTGAAATGCTTGTATCTCAACTAGGAAAAAAAAAGATCATTTGTTTAAAAAGAAATAAAAAATAACAACATTAGTAGGTGTTGATGTTTCTATGTAAGCCACAGTACGGGAGAGACTCTAAGCCAGAGGTTTTGTTTATTCTCTCTCCTGTGAACTCCTTGTTGTAATGTCTAAGCACCTTATAAATATATATGACTGTGTCCTCAAAGGAAAATAAAATTTATATAATGGAGATGCAAAGTGGTGTTAAAGGAAGCGACTTTCCAAAGATTCCTACACAGTTATACTGTGACAGAACTGGGATAGTAAATCAGACCATTACATCCCATTTTGGTAAATGAGCCATCATCCCATCCTTCTTATTAGTCACTTTTGCCTTGGCTGCTTTCAGAGTAATTCACTGCTTTTCTTCGTAAAATACAAATACTTTATTTGTAAGGAAATACATTTTTTTTTGTAACTTCACACTTAGGCAGGCCATGCGTGGATTGATGGCCAACAGGGGGTTGCAGTTAGCAGCAGGGAAGGAACAGAGAGAACATTAAACTCAATTTACACTCCCGTGTGACAACCCTTTCTGGTCTTGCTCCTCAGCTGCCAGAGGTGTCCTGAGCATCACTTGGGAGTCCGTGCTGAGAAGCTGATGCTCTGTTCACTGGGGGTGAATTTGCAGCACCGAGCTCAGCAGCGCTAACCGCCTGGGAAGACCTGTAATAATGCTTCCTAAGTGGGTCTTTGCTGTCCTCTCCTCTCCTCTCCCGTTCCTCATGCTGTTGCGGCAGGGCAGCTGACGTGTTGTTAACAGCTTCCTCTTGCAGACAAGCCCGTACCGAAACAATTCCCTGGATTTACTGTTGTGCACTAGTGAGAGGTGCTTACTTCTGCATGCTCCAAGTGGTACTGGTCTTCTCCAAATAGTGGCTGGGGGGACAAAATGTTGCAATGGTGGCAGCATCTCTCCTGCGGCTGGGGATTCAAAACTGTATTTGAGCAGTGACAAAGTGCATGAGCAAGAGGCTAATTCTTTGTTCCTCAAGGTTGAAAAGCTTTGTGCAAATCTCTTTGAAGTCAGTGAAGGACTTCTGTCACTGCAGTGGGCTTTGAATCTAACCCCAAATGCTCAGTTAATTTACAGTGTGTGTTAGTCTTTTGTTAGCTGGCTTGTGAATATGAAATAGTGCTGAGCGAACCTTCAGGGAATATATTGAATGTGCAAATTTGCACACTGATCTTGATCTTTTCAAAGCAATATGACTGTGGATATATGTTGAAATACCCCCCAGTATGTTGCAGAGACATTCCTCTTTGGTCTTGTATGTGCTGTTTGTATGAGCTTAGTTGGCAGTATGAGCTCTGAGGTTTTCTTTTAAGTTATTCCACAGTACTTTAGGGAACTCAACTCTCATCAGTAATAAAATAAAGCAAAACACTGGTAGGTCTTGCCTTGTTAACTGTTCTAGCTGTTGTGTTTCCCACTGTTCCAAAAAATATAAAGCTTTATAAGATTTAACATATTCCCAGTGCAAAGCATGAATATTTATAGGCAAAGAATAAGACTTCCCATTTTGAAATGTCAATGCTATGAAACTGCTTTTTTGGCAGGCGTGATTAAGCCACACGGACTTCCAATAATGTTTTGTAAGCTTTTTCCTTAATTACGGCTTAATTTAGGTCTCTGAGTTTAACAAAAGAGAGCAGCAAAATATTTTTCTTGTGGAAAATTTTGTTTGCATGGAGTACAAATCCTGTATTCCTTGTGGGTATGATTTCTTAATGTGTTTAAATGTGGAAATCCCATATTTTCTTTGCATTTCTTAAAGCACATACAAAATAAAAATAGCTGATACTGTGTGTTTAATACAGAATTTTTAAGAAAATAGTTTGGAAAGTACATGTGATTACTTTTTTTCCTCCAAATGCCTTGAGTGAAATGGACATGAGGTTATAAGACATCAAGCAAGAGGCGCAAGACTCTGTCTCAAGCCGTAACTGCTGCAAGAGACAAATTAGCAGCAATTTTGCTTTCATACAGTTGTTCTTAAATGCACCGTTCTGACAACAGCAATAAATAGAATAATCTGCATAATTGTATTTATGTGGCATTGATCTGTCTTTTCTAGAGAAAATCCCTTTTCCCAGATAAAATAATCTTCCATTCAGTTGTAAGTGGAAGAAAGCCTCTTTAGCAGCTGCACAGATTTAGGGAAATGTTTCTGCACAGGCTTAGTACAGAATTTTGATATGGACCTCTCAGTGAATTTGATTTTTGGTGAACAAAATACAGTAAGGGCACTAAAAATACCTTGCTATCCTGTGCAGATTGGATAACAGGATATTCACTCAAAAGATCTAGATAGAAAAGCACAGAGATGATGTGATTAAACTAAGGTAGATTTATTACTAGATTCTTTTATTTTCTTAAATTGGTGTAATAAATGTCTCAGACCTGCTCAAAGATAGAGTTTTGAACAGCTTTGAGCTATTCCTGGCTTATTACTTAAGTAGAAACAGCAGAAGTGGTGGAAAAACAGGATCCTTGTGGAAAAAACCATTCAAACAGTTTAAAATCCTCTGCCGTGATCATGCTTTTCTAACCCCCTGCAGCCTTGCATTATCAAACTGAGAATGTCTCAGTCTCCCTAATATTAATGTTTGAAATATGATACAAATAAATAATCTGAATAAAATAAAAAGAAAAAAAAGTGGTTAGCATCACAGCTACCTGGGGCCTTGCTAACATGAGCTTAGAGATACAGTCACGGGCTCTAAAGCTGGGCTTTCTAGGGGAGCTGAAGAGAGTGAAATCCCTTGAAACTCAGAGACTGAACATTTTTAACATCTGGGTTTGAATGGTGAAGTCAGCATCTGAAAAAGCAAGTATCTGGAAAGCAGTTTGAAAACTGTTTTACTGAAGATGATGGGGAAACTGGGGAGTTTGTGGGGGGGGTGCTTTTATTTTCCAGATAAAGGAAAGTTCCCTGGGATGACAGAAAGCAATGCCGGAGCCTGCTGTCTGTGTTTCACGTATCTTTGCTCTTCTTTGCAGGTTACATATTTGGGTAAGGTTTCCACAACAGGGATGCAATTTTTGTCAGGCTGCACAGAGAAACCAGTAATTGAATTATGGAAGAAGCATACGCTCGCCAGGGAGGATATTTACCCAGCTAACGCCCTACTGGAAATTCGCCCTTTCCAAGTCTGGCTGCATCATCTGGACCTCAAAGGCGAGGCGACAGTCCACATGGATACCTTTCAGGTAGCACGTATAGCCTACTGCACTGCTGACCACAACGTCAGCCCAAACATCTTTGCTTGGGTCTATCGGGAGATCAACGATGACTTGTCCTACCAGATGGACTGCCATGCTGTAGAGTGTGAGAGCAAGCTGGAGGCCAAGAAGCTGGCCCATGCCATGATGGAGGCCTTTAAGAAGACTTTTCACAGCATGAAAAGCGATGGCCGGATCCACAGGAACAGCTCGTCAGAGGAAGTGTCTCATGAATTTGAATCTGACGATGGCTGACTGAACTCATTCACAGTTCAGCAAAGGCAGAAATGGCCTAGGGAATGAGAGCTGATAGATGAATAAGCAACAATTGAAATTGGGAAATGAAAGGACTGCCAAACACTTGTCTGACCAGCTTTTTAAATCAAAAGAGCAATTCAGTACCTACAGATATGCATTATTAAAGTAATTACGTTACATTGAACTCTGCTGCTGTTGTAAAAGTGAGAAAAAAAGCTCCCTCCTCCATCTCTCTCACCCACCCATCACTGTCCCTTTCTCATCTCTGTAGTTCAGGTGCATACCATGAAGTAGAGTCATTCCCATTTGTCTTATGAGACTGGTCAGGCAATTTTATTAGTTGCTTCTCTGGCATTCCTAGCTGGGGGCTGATGCTGATGCAGAAGAGCAAGTAGACCTGGAAAGCCCTAATGGTTCCCGAAGAATCTTTCTCCATGATGCATCACAAAAATCCTTTGACCGTACGTAGGCTAAGACAGCCATACATAGCCTTTTAGACTAATGGCCTGGCATTCTGCAGTTAATTCACATTTCAGATAAAAAATGAAAGAAGATGCTTGTATGTACACATTATATCATATGCTATTCTTTATTTTATTCATTGTACCTATTTTCTTAATATACCTGCTGCCACGTCTTTCACCCAGTACCAGTAGTTGCAGTTTCAGACTATATACTGCAGGATACCAAAAAGGGGTGGGCAAAAATACTCCGCGATGGCAAGGGGTGCAGCAAGCCAGCACCACTATCTGCGCATTTTCCAACCCTGATGTGCTCCGCAGGAGGGGGGCCCACTGGTAAGAGTTGAGGGACACGTGGGTCTGTCAGTGTTTGAACTGTCACTTCTCATCAACCTCAGGTCTGAAGTGATACGAGCGTGGTAGCCTCAACTCCGTGTTACCGGTCTCCGCGTTGCTGGTCGAGTGGCCCTGGTGGGATGGAAGTGGCACTGGTGGTGCCTCATCGCACAGCCAGGGCTGCATTACTGTAAAGATCAAAGGAAACGGTCCCTTAGGAGTCAGGTTTGAACATCTGTTCTGGTTGAGAAGCTCATGTTAAGATTCCCATATCTTTCCTTGTTCACAGGTATACAGAGTCATGCCTTTCTTAAATGCAGATGTTTAATAAAACTCAAATAAAAGGAAAACCTTGTTTCACTTGATATTTTTTAAGGCCGAGAGCAGATCAATAGTTTGCAAATAATGCTGCTCCTTTATACAATTTTGTTCATAATCATGGTAATGTTAGGGGCACTAAGGCACCTTACAGAAGCCTTAAAAGAAAGCTAATCGAAGCAGATAGCTCTATGTCTGTGTTTTGTGGGTCTGTATGTTTGTATGTGAGAGTGTATGTGTGAGTCCAGTGTTAAAGCATGTAGATTGAGCATGGAGACATATTGAGGAGGGCCCACACTTCTTGAAAATATGCTTGTTGCTTTACAATGTATGTAAACTATTCTCCAGCATAAATGCATTCATACTTTAATAAAAAAAATGTTTTGAGTTAAAGCTTGGGAGTTTTAAGCTGTTTTTCCAATGCAAACTCTGTGGTTTTGTTTTATGTGTGTGGGTTCTGTGTTCATTTCGTTTAGTGGAATGAAAATGTTAATTTATTTCCATTTAGTATTACATCAGTCTCTGTGAGAATTACCTTTAATATTCTTAGTTTTCTTTTAAATATTTAGGTAAATTATTGCTGTGAGATTTTTTTTTTAACTTTGCTGTGTGTGGACATGATTTATAATTTCTGCTTGGCAGGAGGTGGCAGAGGTATCCCCCCACACACACACCTGGCCAGTTGAAATGAGCTCTCTGAGTGGGAGCAGTATCTTGCCCTGCTTACAGAAGTTGCAGAGTGGCTCAGGTGCAGCATTAGATGGGGAACAAAACACCAGGCCAGCAGCTTCTAGAACTGTTTCTCTCTGAATCTTGGATGATCCAGTGTTTCCAAATATGGGTCTAAAAATGATTTTTTTTTTTTTTTTTTTCTTCCCACAAAGCTCATTTGGAAGTGGAGGGTCATGTATGGGCTATATT